AATATTAAACTTCAAAATATCTGTTAGTTGAGTTCTTGCACAGATTTTAAAATATAACGTTGATAAATGAAAACATAAAATAAAATATTATCAACACCTGTTTTCTAGATACATTCTTTATTAACATATTTTAAACCTACCCTTCAACTTCCAAACAGTAAGCTACCATAGCGTACAGATTTTCTAATCCAGTACGTTCGGTGAATACCATAGTACTCTGTCGAAAAACATCGGCAGCTCTGAACAGTAAGATGCAATAGGCAGGAGTATCATCTCGTCCTTCAGTAAAAAACAAGAACAATCTTGTTTAACAAGAACAATGATATATAAAAGATTTGACTTCTTATTACATTTGTTCTTTGTTTCCATTAGAAACATGTTTATGTAAATTATGATCCTAGATCTAATAAAGAATAGGATAAAAAGTATAAAAGGTGAACATTTTAAGAATAGGATAACAAGTATAAAAGGTGAACATTTTAAGATAACAAGTATAAAAAAGTGAACATTTTAAGAATAGGATAACAAGTATAAAAGGTGAACATTTTAAGATAACAAGTATAAAAAGTGAACATTTTAAGATAACAAATATAAAAAGTGAACATTTTAAGAGACATTTTCAGTAGACCACTAAGGCAATTATTTATAAAATGACATTAGAGAGACTTTCTAATCCAACACTACATTATGAGTATTTGGAAAATCCAAGTCAAAGCTGAATGGTTTTTTGTATTATTTTACTTATAAAAGTATTTTTGTTTTTCGAATTTTGTGCGAAGTTACTCTATTTCAACCTGTCTCTGATTTTGAGATGACAGAGGAAAGGATGCTAGTCAAAATCATCCACTGCCAACTTTTAGGCTACTCTTTGTCAATGAATAAGGGGATTGAACTTTACAATGTAACATCCCCATGACTGAAAAAATAAGCATGTTTGGTGACAGGCTCTGACCCTGCGACCCTACAATAGGAAGTCAAGCTCCCTAAACACTAGGCTTATTTAAAAAGTAAGAGGACAGAAATAAACATATGGAAGTTTATAATCTAGTAAATACAACATCTATACTTCAACTCAAACATCAAAGACTCGCAAAATACTTGAAAACTAAATTACTGAAAAAGAAATACTTTACACCAGTATTTAGTAAAATATCAAAATAATTAAGTTACACAAACGGTCTAAAATAAACCATATCTAGTATTTCATTGCACCTGCTCGGCCACTTTCTTGATAGTAGTTCTCCAGTGATTTGGGTAGAGAATGATGTATAACAAAGCGAACATTGGCTTTGTCGATTCCCATCCCAAATGCCACTGTTGCCACAACTACTCGGGTTTCATTGGACGCCCAGCTCTGATGGATGTAACTTCGTGACTTGGGATCTAGTTGTGCATGATAACTGAGGGCCTTTACACCTCGTTCGGACAAGGCTGATGCAACTTCTTCAGCTTCTTTGATAGAAAAACAGTAGATGATTCCTAACAGAAAAAAATTACTTATTTACTGGTGTACATAACACACACATTAACACATAACACACATGTTAACACATAACACACATGTTAACACATAACACACATGTTAACACATAACACACATGTTAACATATGACTACAAACAACTTTATTTTATCAATTCCTATATAATACTTATTGGTACACATAACACTGTACCTACTCTCTCTGACTACAAACAACTTTATTTTATTAATTCCTACATATTTATTATTTACTGGTAAACATAGCACATCTCTGACTACAAACAACTTTATTAATTCCACATATTTATTATTTACTGGTAAACATAGCACATCTCTGACTACAAACAACTTTATTAATTCCTACATATTTATTATTTACTGGTAAACATAGCACATCTCTGACTACAAACAACTTTATTTTATCAATTCCTACATAATATTTATTGGTACACATAACACTGTACCTATGCTCTCTGACTACAAACAACTTTATTAATTCCTACATATTTATTATTTACTGGTAAACATAGCACATCTCTGACTACAAACAACTTTATTAATTCCTACATATTTATTATTTACTGGTAAACATAGCACATCTCTGACTACAAACAACTTTATTTTATCAATTCCTACATATTTATTATTTACTGGTAAACATAACACTTTTACCTGATGATTATCCAGTACTATGGATCTAAACATTGTAATTATTAAATTCAGAACGTATCTAATGTAAACACTGCTGTTATTGTATTTCAGTAGGTTCCTCACTAAACATTAATACTTGATAATTGTTTGTTTGTTTTGTTAAGTTCAAAGCTACACAATGTGCTATCTGTGCTCTACTCACCATGGGTAACGATTTTAGCATTATGAGCCCTCAGACTTACTGCTGAGTCACTGTAGGACTTCAAAATGATATAATAATAGACGCATATTTTATATGAGCTACACTTGGGAAGTTATGACAATCATATCTATTTATTCTTTGACTTAACAATTGCATATCATTGCATGTGTTTGTTTAACCTTAATATCTAAATGTCCCCAATTACACTTTTAGAAGGAAATATTCAAGTCCTGAATGTAAATATCAATAATTTGAGATACCTTTACCCAAAAGAAAACTTCATGAAACAGTGACAATATCTTGAGATTATAACGTTTCGTAATCCGGCTTAATTTTTGAAGATAAAATTCTCTTTTTATTACTTATTTGAATTAAATTACTGAAAATTTTAGGAAAGAATAACAATATTATTTTGAAGAATAGGCTTTTACGTAAAACATTTGATATAATTGGAAACTAGCTAAGAAAAGCTTTTATTTTTACCATAATCAAACTTACCTGACTGGTTGAAAAATCTTTTTGTGATAATGTTTTCTAACTGGTCTATTGATTTCTCTTGACTACTTGCTTTGGCATGAACCTAAATGAAAATAATTCCCTAATTACTTCAGGACCATAAGTAGAAAATAAGAAACAATGTGTACTGTACATAATTGTATAGTCCCAATAACCATAAATAGAAAAATAAGGAACAATGTGTACTGTACATAATTGTATAGTCCCAATAACCATAAATAGAAAAATAAGAAACAATGTGTACTGTACATAATTGTATAGTCCCAATAAACATAAATAGAAAAATAAGAAACAATGTGTACTGTACATAATTGTATAGTCCCAATAACATAAATAGAAAAATAAGGAACAATGTGTACTGTACATAACTGTATAGTCCC